GTTCGAATCCTGGTAGCGATTGAAAACAATTTACTTCTCTAAAATGATCTCCTTTCACCTCCTTTCCTGCTCTCTCGCATCTACTACAACTATCCTTGGCTCCTTCTTACTGCTGTCTTTCAGCCACACCCCTGATCTTCTGGTAGGAAAGATCTTCTCCTATCCTTCTCGGACAAGGGCGAAAAGTCTCGGAGGTCCCGTGTGCAAGTTGCGCACGTTAAAGATGCCTTAGTGGTCTAAAATCGACAAGAGTAGGCTTTGGCCGCCACCCGGGCAAAATGTCCTACCAACTGAACAAGTTTAATGTGTCCCGCGCGCTCATATGACCTTATGCGCCGTAAAATATTCACACAAAAAATAATTATACGTATTATTAAACTCGCTCTACTTCGTGTAATGTTAGTACATGGAGTGTCTCTGTAATTTTCAGTGACTGGTAGATCTAATATTCTAATCTAGATCTAGATCTATTGGCAATCCAATAGCTTTATTTATTTATTTACTTATTTATTTATTAATTTCAATTTTTGTTTTAATTTTTTTGGGGGAGGGGGTACTTTTACTAAGAAAATACGATGGCCATGGACCTGTTTAGCAGTAACAAGTAAAACTGAAGACAGGAACGATCGTCAACCTTTTTTTATACTTTTACTTTCGTTTTCTTCGTTCACTGCGAGTTCTTTACCTTGAATTTATATTTTGTTCAAAAGTATGATTTTTTTTCCCCCCCTTCTTCTTCGTCTTCAGAATGGTAACACGTACATGCCGCTTGGCTTTTCTTTTAGCTTGTAAATGCCATTTTCAGATGATAAGTGTGGGAAGCTAAAACTGAATCTTAACCATTTAACAAGAATATCATTATGCAATTATGAATTAAATATTAATACATAATAAACGAGTGTTTTTGTTCCGTAATAAGCAATGTGCTAGGCTATGTTGACGTGGGGAAACCCCCCCTTGAGATGTCAGTTTGCACTCCCTTTACTTCTACTTTTATATCCAGAAAATATATTATTATTTTCTTACACTTGAAGTTCGTGTAGTTTTCTGTCTTCGATATAAATTATAGTGTGATGGAATCTTGAAATACTTGCTCATTTCTGAATAATGACCATATATCAACCCCAAAACTGTGATGATTATATCCTGAGCCATGCTATCAACAAACTTGAAGTTTCCCTGTCCAGCATGGCTCATCTCGTTGTAAATTTGTGTACACACACTCTTTACAGCTCACATTTTGTTGTCCACAATGGAAAGCTTGTCCCTATGTTGTTGCTGTCAGTAGGCTAGGATAAACAGACCCATCCGTTATGTGTGGACCTCCAGATTCTAGTTGAAGGTTTGGAGTTGTATTGTGGACTGAATCTATATTTTTATACCCTTTTTTAGTCCCATTTATTTGATTTGCTGCCACTGATGACAGTCGAGTGACTTGATGAACTTGATTTGAGTGATGATGTGTCTCCACTTGGTGAATGCCTTTTGAACTGTATGTTGGCATATGGCCATCATGGGTAAACAAATAGGCCACCTCTATTCTCACCCCGGGTGAGAATAGCGCAGGCGAGTCTTTTGGCTATTCTCACCCGGTGTGCGTTCACCGATAAGGCTATCGAAGTGGCTAGCCGTACTTAGATCTAGGTTTGGCCCTATCGACTCAAGCCTGTTAAGTACACAGGTCTCATTAGATCTAGATTCTAGATCTATATCTAGATATAGTAATTATTCAGGTTCAAATACATGCAAGTCAGTAAGGCACCTTTTGGTTTTGTCTGAAATACAAAAACTTTAGGGAAAGTGGCTATTCTCACCCGCCCAGAAGTTCTTGCAAGATCAACTCCTCCCCTCTTCTCTCTCTCTCTCTGTCTCTTTCTGAATACTGTCTATCGGTGTGGACGATCAAATTGACCAAAACAAAGTTAAAAAATGATGTTAAAACACAAAAGTAAATTAATTTGGTTGTCTACAAAGATGCTACGGCTATTTAACTTTTCGAATCGAGCCGAACTACGCGGGTCGCCATTTTGTTTTGCCCGGAAATTCTCGCGCTACTCCTCTCTCTCTCTACTGCCCACAGACAAAATTGTACGCTTTTAGGCTAACAGTAGTAATGGAACATTTATTCACGGCACAGAATTCTACAATTTTTCTGTTATCACTGTAGAATTCTGTGTTAGACGACCAAATTAATTTACTTTTTTGCATTTTAACATCATTTTTTAACTTTGTTTTGGTCAATTTGATCGTCCACACCGATAGACAGTATTCAGAAATAGACAAAAAGAGAGAGAGAGAAGAGGGGAGGAGTAAATCTTGCGAGAACTTCCGGGCAAAACAAAATGGGGACCCGCGTAGTTCGGCTCGATTTTAAAAGTGAAATAGCCATAGCATCTTTGTAGACGATCAAATTAGCTTACTTTTGTGCTGCTATAACGTAATTTTTTCTTTGCTTTTACCCATTTGATCATCCACACCGATAGAAAGTATTCCGAAATTAGGAAAAACAGGTCTTGTTTCACACCGGGTGAGAATAGCCAACGGTGGCAAGTCTCACCCGGGGTGAGAGGTCGATCGTATTTTTATTCTCACCCCGGGTGAGGATAGCCACTTCCAAATAAATAATGAATTGCATAGATCTAGGCCTAGATCTACCTGTACATAGTATGTTGTCCGCCTGGGCAACAAAGAATGAGTTAAGAGACTCCAGATCTAGGCCTGTGGTAGGGTATTTCACATGAGAGTGTACTTAGGTAGGCTTTTTAAACGCCAAGCTGAAACTATAAAAGAGTTCATTCGTTCAGTCAATTTTTTCAATCATTACTTGAAGAATCTAGATTATCTAGTTAGATTTGGCATTTGAATTTTAAAAAACAATCTTTAAATTTAGATTAAATAATTTGCTTCCTGATTGTACCATCTCTTTTTTAAACCTGTGGCTGCATTCAGACTGACTGTGAAACTGTTATAATAATAATTATACAAAGTGTATACAGACCCGGTAACCGGGAACAAAGTCACGAAGTATACAGACCCGGTTGGGGAACTCTTTTGTGATTTCGGAAAGTTTCAGCGCCCAGACCCGGTAGTGTGTGTGTGTGTGTGTGTGTGTGTGAGTGAGAGAAAGAGAGAGAGAGAGAGAGCAGGGGGAAGTGCTAGAAAAATGTATATATATATGACATGCCCCAGTTGGCAGGAGCGAACGAGAGAAAGATAGAGTGGGAAATATGTGGGGAGAAAGAGAGAGAAAGAGAAATAGAGAGGGTGACTGCTCGATTGAAATTAAATTACATTGTTCTTCTTCAAATTGTGATTCCTCCAACTCCAAAACTGAGGAAAAACTATCGTTCCCCGCAATCTTCATTTAGATCTACATCTAGGTTAGCCTCGAAACTAGATTTAAAATGATTTGTCTGTCTGTCTAGATCTAGACCTCGGCCATAGATCTTGAAAAACCTAGGTCTACCCTGAGCCAAGAGGGCGCTGAAACTTTCCGAAATCACAAAAGAATTCCCCTACCGGGTCTGTGTACTTTGTGACTTTGTTCCCGGTTACCAGGTCTGTATACACTCCCCTTAAATTATAAGATCTAGAGTCTATAACGAACTCGGATTCGAAGAAAAGAGACGGATTCCCTACTTTTTCTATACCTTATCAACAATTACAAAGTAACTTTGATTTAACGAACACATGAGCCTAACAATGCATAATAGAATGTATTTAATATATTATTATGAGCAAACTCGGATTCACCAAAGTTACTTTGATTCTACGGGGTGAACTACCCTTGCTGATGTGGCTTCACGCATTTTTCTCCCTCTATGAACCTCATCTACTCTATTCCATTGGACCATTGATTTCACCAGCACTGTTGATCACTACACACACTTCCACTTAGCCTATGCGTACATCAAAATATGTGACTAATCAGAAGCTTTCTTTCACATATAACACATGCGTTGTTGACATGCGCTTAAGACATGATAGAATGTGTCTTAACGTGTTCTGGGGTTTGGAGAGGTTGGATGGGAGGGCAGCACACATGTGGCTGTTAATGCATGTTTGGGGCGATAGGGAGGGGTTCTTAGATGCAAGTGTTCTGCACATGTCACGTAAGCAAAGATCAACCCATTAATTACTGTCATTATATATATCCCTACTCCCCTTCCCATCTTTTACCCCCAGCTACTGAACAATAAAGGCTAGTTTTGACATTGATATCGAAACCTACTTAATTAATGAATCGCGCATTGGTCTGTGAAAACAAATATGTTGCTGTATGGAAGGTCCTTTGCTACAATGCAACTTGTTGCTCACTTTGCTTTAAAAACAAACACTCAGATTCATCGAAATTGAAAGTCAGGCCAGAAGACTTCTCTTTATAATAAGTTTCACTGTACCACAACATACACTGCCTTCGCCTGAGATGATCTCCAGTAATGCATGATGATGATGAAGAAGTGTTTCTCTGTAGTCTGTAGGGTTTTGTTTTATATGGGGGCATCAGTTGTTTTCTCTATCTTGTGAATCTTTTGAGATTCATTGCATAATGTTCTCAGTTGTGTGTCTTTGTGGTTTTAGCTCTATCAATCTTGCCAGCAACTTCATTTCCATGGCATGGAGATTAACACTCCAGTGAAACTTGATCTGGATGTCGGGGGAAATGATCAAATTGTAGGTTTCGTAGACAATAATAATTTCTGTGGATGTAAAGGACATTCAGAGCAGAGTTCAATTAGTTGAAACTGACTACGGGACTAAAACTTTTATTACTGTGATCGTCTTTCTCGTTAGTAAACTATACATGGTGATAAGTTTTTGTTGCAACGTTTAGCTGTTGTTATTGCTGAAAGTGCACGCTTTTTGTATTATTTTTTCTTTCAGAAACTTCAAGAAGATATCAACAAATTGAGTGGATTTTGGATATAGTTTCATTTTTTCTAATAGATCATAAGATAGAGAGGAGGGCAAGACCTTTGTTCATAGAGATCTTCTAAAATCTTTCAGAGTCTGGCTAGTTTATGTTTCATTGCTGCTATTTATATATTTCCGGACACTTGTGACTCTGTGTCTTTGAAATTGTTCATCTTGTATTTTTCTATTTCATCCTTCAGACTGAGAAGAAGTGAAATCATCATCTTTCACCATGGATTTTGTATCTACGTTGTCTGTGTTGGCAACTGTGACATCATTTGCAATTCAGCTCATTGGCATGTGAGTAGTTGTTCTTCCCCTTGTAGAGATAAATTGTGTAGTCTCACGAGACCTCTGACAGAAACACCCTAAGCTGAAAAATGACGATTGGGGATTTGAGCGCATGAAATTTCATTTACAATTTTATTTTTTCTAGGAACCATCGCAAGGTAGTCCTCACAGCATAGGGGGGGGGGGGGGGCTACTTGTTTAGTTTTGGGTTTTTTGTTATATGACTAGAGATGTTTTTTAAAAATTCACATTTGAGTTTAATTTTTTCCTTTTAGAAGCTGTTGGGCTGAAAATATGTCATATTACATTTATGATCCTGAAGATGATTACCATTTCAATTTAAAATTTATGCTTTTTAATCTCAGACGGTAGTGTTGATAAGCCAAGGAAAATTCACAAGTTTAATTAATTTATTTATATATATATATATATATATATATATATATATATATATATATATATACACATATATATACATATATATATCGGACGCATGGACAACACTTGGAAATCAGGTATTAACAATGTACAGTCACACAGCCAGTTATACAAAATACCCCATCTGGTCCCCCAGCCAGGAGAGGGACTGCAATGGACTTCTCGGGCCTGGCACAGTGGCATTATTGCATCAAGTGACGCAAAGTGTTACGTTGAAACATTACAAATCAGATCATGTTCTCTCTTTTCTTTTGTTTTCATCTTAATCTTGGAGAACAGCCTATATATATGGATTGAAAGCTGAGAGGGTTTGTAGTGATAGATCATGTCTCAGTAAGTAAGGTAGCAGGTACAGTGGAAACCTGATATAACAGGGATGGTGGGACCAGAGGAAAAGTCCTGTTATATCCGATCCTTGTTAAATCAGAAATGCAAGGAAAATAAGCATTTGTGAACTAATCCAGCTGTACTTATTCATGGGTAGTTTCCCTTGCCACAAGTTCTCATGAACTTTCTCCTTGCCTCCTTAAACCTGATCAGAAGAGCTTGGTCCACAACATCTGCATCGGGTAGTCTCATCTTCTTTCGATCCAGAGCACTTTCCATTGGAGCTTGCTTTTTGTCAACAGCCTGGGTTATTTCGTACTTTTTGTCAATTAAAAGGCATTTTCTCTTGCGCTTGACATCGTTGGTGACACATTACGCTTGCATGTTGCTAGGTTTCAGGCTAGATTGAGGTCTGCAGCACACCGCAGCCCTCTCTCGCTTCACACGCTGCGTGTGCTTGCAGTGGCATGTCTTGCCTGCGCTTGCTCCATCGCTGCGTTACTCACTCTCTCTCTCTTTCTCTCTCTCTCTCTCTCTCTCTCTCTCTCTCTCTCTCTCTTTCTCTCTCTCTCTCTCTCTCTCTCTTACTTTTTACACATTGTTAACAAGCCTTTGTCCCTGCTATAACTGGTTGGGCTCTGATGTGGCCTTGTTATTGCCGATTACTTTTAATAGAGACAAAGAGTAAGAAAAAATGCTGATTTCAAAAATCCCTGTTATTACCGGATCCCTGTTATTACCTGGCCTGTTATATATGGTTTCCACTGTATTCAGTTGGTGGTTAGGGTCATTAACAATGATCTCGCTGACCACACTGGTACAAACTCCTTATTGGAAGAGGTAAACAGATGATGATAAAGATGGCTTGGCCATGTTTTCCATGTGAACAAGTCTTAATATCCCCGAATAGCGTGACCTTGGACGCGACGAGGGAAAAGAAAGGAACTTCAAAAGTTCCTACAGCGAAACAGTTGGAGATGATAGAGATTAAAAGACACAAAGATGTGAAAGAATTTAGATGACCTGTCTAGAACAGGTGAAATTGCTGGATACCCTCTCATCTACTGCTACCCATGACTCTTGATGGTGGTACATAATTTATATTTAATTGACTCTTTAAGGAGTGATCTGTGTGAAATAATAATTTTGAGATTTCTTGCTCACTAAATTTGATTTTATGATGTATCAAGGTATAAGGCATGGTCTCATTACAATAGTTTAATTAATTAGGAATATAATATGTTCTAGTATTTTTTTAAAGTGCTATAAATCCATTCATAATGTTTCTTTATGGGAAGTAAAATTGCTGTTTTCATTGACTTCATTTCCTGACAGCTGGCACCTGTATATATTCTTCCTTGCTTTTTATGTTAAGCAGTGTTTTTGCACTACGAAGTTGTCTACTTCCTAGCACAGGTTTTTATGACAAGTTACGTCAGAGAAAAGTGACACTGAGGTCAGATATTTGTATTGAAGGTGAGTGACTTATGGGGTTCACTAGGGTTATGTTGGTTTATTTATTTATTTATTTTTTATTCATTTCAAAACTTTCACAGGGAGATGTCTTTTCGAATAGTTCAAAAAGGAAGCACGGCTGATGTTGCACCCGCACCGTTTATTGCTTTTTTTGTCAGGTAAGCTCCACAGAAGTTCAAGGTTTGAATTTCATGTTGGATCAAGATCTTTTTTTCTTCTTTTTTTTTTTCCTCCTTTTTGTTCCCCACATGGTATATTTCTCCTCAGCCTGGTGAGGCCCACTGAAATTCTATCTTCATTATGACCAACATTTTGTAATTTGGGTACTATGTTTCTACAACAACAGCAAAACGTCAACAAAGTTCACTAATTGAACGAAAAGGGAGGTCCAGAAAATTTCTGCCAGTATTGCAGTCGATGACTGTTTTGTTTTGCAATTTTTATTTTCAAGAGAACACAAACCACAAAAAATTCATTTCATTAGGTACAGTATGAAGAATGATCAAGAAGGCAGACATAAATAACATAAATTATGGATAGGAAGCAAAAATGTACTTGTTACTCCCTCTGCCCACCCACTGTGGTACAGAGAAAGTTGAACAGAAGCCCTAATAAACAGCTACCATAAGCTGACAGGACACCTTTTTTACTTCACAGCAGTTTTTTAAAAAAGAGGGTTTTTTTGTCAGCGTTACCATTTAAATATGGAATGATTCTGAAATTTGAATTCTAATCTATTCAAAAACGAGTCACAGTTTCACTTTGATTTTTTCGCACAATTAGGGTAACTGAAAAGGCTTTGGATTCAGCAAATAAAAAATGTTCCTAGAGTGTGTGCTGTATTGTTACGAAATAGTACCATGACTTTTATCATGGCTTCAATGAAGCTCAAACCCTTCCCACCCCCCGCTACGGTGCTACTGACCGAAGTGTCTTTAGATCATTCCTAAAGGGGGGAGACATTAACATCTCGAGTTCTTATGCACAGTAGAGTTGTAAATTGTATATGGGCTGATTCATCAATGTCATGCTCATAACTGTGCCTGAACTGCAACAGGGAACTGCTGCTTTTTCTTTCCAAATCCTTACTATCGCCATTTTTCCTCTACTTCTTTTGTATGTTTGTCACACTTTTTTGACCCGCTATTTCCGGGGTGCCTTGATAGTTGAAACAGACTTTGTGCTCTTGAAGCTAGAGAGGTGATTAGAGTAAGTCTGATTCCCTATAAGGATTTCTCTGTTGACATCCACCCCTTGGCGCTCATATGGCCTTATGCAGTTGCGAGAGCCGTAAAACCTCTGCTAAAACAAACAAACCAGTTCTATTTTCATTATTTCTTTCTTAAATAATAACTTTGCCCTCTATTTCACTTACATAAAGCAAAGGGGTTGTGAAAATTCAACAATTTTGGGTGTGTTCCTAGACAAAAAGCAAAATTTGATGCACCATTTTCTTTCCCTTAGAGCTGAAAGATTTTTGCTTTTTCATTTCAGTGCATGTGTGTGGCTCAAGTATGGGCTGATGATGGGTATCACAAGCGTCATTTTGACCAGCTGTCTCAGCGCTGTGTTGCAGTTTTTGTACATATGTATTTACTATTTGTACACAAACAAGAAGGTATTAAGATTTGCGTATTGTCCAACTCTTTTAGGTTAACACTTATTAATGGTTATATGATGGACACCTCTTGAAATGAAACCCCTGAGACTATGATTATTGTTTATTATATAAACATGGACTGAAGTTATGACTAGAGCATGAATAGAAATGAAAGAAATGTATGGCAGGATCTGAGGCTGTCAGTTACTGTAAGTCGTAAGAGAGTTTAACTGCACAAATTCTGGGATAAACTTCCAAGATGACTTGAACATTACGAATATTCCCTCACGCTCATGCCATTCAGATAAGAATGAGAGATGATAAAGGTTCGTTCAAGCTAGACAATGCTTGGTGTGCAAGGATGGGTGCATTACGTCTTGAAGTAACTTGTGTGTGGAACAATTCTTACATTTGTCAATTGTTCAAAGTTAGCTTTAAGGTGTGTTTGATAGTTATGTATCCTCTCCCTGAAGATTCTCATGACTTCTCAGTCACTCTATTTGCTGGCCTGTTCATTTCAATTAATTGTTTTGGTACCCTCCCCCCAGGAGACATACATAATAGCAGCTCATTAAGACTTTTGTTATCATATTCTTTGTCTGTCAACTGCCAAGTATCATCTGTAAGGAATACCCAGCAGAACCAGGTATCAAACTCACAATTTTTTTGTTGCAAATCTGAATGCCTCAGGGCTCAACTAAGACAGCCCTAATATTGGTTGTTTTTTTTTAAAAGATCATGTTATGTTATGCACCTACAGTTTGTTCCAAGTTGTTGTTGTTGTTATCGATCCTGCAACAGCTGGGCCCTCACCCTTCTGTCCAATGCCATGTAGTGATAAGTGCACGTTTGCTGCAGTTGCTGTAATGTTCCAAAGAGTGTGTTGTCAATGTTAGGTCTCGGAGGGAGAAGTGTACCTCTGATGTCATTTAGGGCTGTGTAGTAGAACAGGTGATGATCCTCAGTCTCATATGCATAGTCACACCAAGGACACATTGGAGGAAGTTCTGGTTTTATTCTTTTATATTGGAAACTGAGCTGTATGTGTTCTGTTCGCTGGGGGAAGATGGTGGTCTGTTCCTTTTTCTGTAAGTGGTTGATATTGTGTTTTCGTTTGTTTTGGTCATATTATGTTTGAAAACTGCTCTGCCTGTTTTTCCAAGAATGATCAGGTTCAAATGCAATGAATCATTCACAAAGAGATCCTTGCACAAATGAAAAGATCTGTCAAAATTCTTTTACATGTAAAAGTCTGAATCTTTTCCTTTCCTTTTTTTTTTCAGACTCAGTTCCTAAAAGAAAAAGTATGCCTATTTTTGTGACTTAATTAATCGGGAAGCATATTTTCAACACGTGAATATCACAATGTCAACTCATCAATAATTTGTTTCTTTATTTTCCTTCCCCAGCACTTTTTGCACCGCTTGCTTCTGATTGGTTTATTCATATTGTTTACTCCGCTCATGTATGTGGACTTTTATGAGACGGAAGTGGAGCTAGCCTCAAGACATCTTGGTCTTTACTGCTGCGTGCTCAGTGTTATGTGCTATGCCTCTCCTATGGCTACACTAGTAAGTATTTATGTGAAATTTAGCTCGTCTGCATTGTTTTCACTATGAGTAACAAAATTAAACCTTTGCATGAGGGTCATAACCACTGGTCTCCGTAGACTAAACTTTTACGAAAAGCTGCTCACAACCACAGGTTGCGATATGCATCGGCCTAGTAGAAAGTGATGTATGAAGACAACAAAACGGAACTTTGAGGCATACTGCCTAGTAGTCTAAGCAGAATTGATTCTACTTTCAATTGTGTGTCGCGCTGACTGAAAACAATGCCAATTTAGTTTTTTGGGTGAAATTTTCTCAAGATACCAGTCAGGAAGAAAATCTACGATATATGTCAGATCAGGAGAGTGGTGTTTAGTGTGATCTAGACCTGCCAAATGTGTTTTTAGACTGATTCAAAAGAGTTTGAGAGGTTTTACACAGCTGAAGCTGCTCAGGGAAATAATGTAACTCAAATAGACTTTCAATCAACTTTCCAGCAAGTATATAAACAGCGTACAGTGAGTTCATAGCTGCGTCATCATTTTCCCTAAGAACATCAACAACAGTTGGGATTTTTTTAATGCGACAGGATTTTAAAAAATTCTCCACTTATTCATATACTTCATCCAATTTGCCACACATTTTACTTTTATACTCATATAAAGTTTTGAAGAATAAGAAAGTTATGAAGGAAATAAAAGTTCTCTGTCTGAAATTTCAATTCAGCATTCAGGGGAAATAATGCAATGAAAAATTCAGCAGCCAAAGGGTTAATAAATATTCCAGTCTTGATACCTAACTTTAGAATGGTTCTTTTCTCCCCTGCCCCAAGGGTGTTTCCTCTCCATGACTTGTGCAACCATAGAAGACATGTTGGTTTACCACATGAGTTCTTTAATTATTTCTGCTTCTTCACATTTTCTCTCTTGGGTATTTTCTACATTATAATAGCACTGTGTAAGACAACCACCTGTCTAGTAAAGCCACTTTTCTCCCTGACAAAGGGTGGCTGTCTAAAACTATTTCGATCGCACCTTGAATTCCCCCAGTCATTTTGCTTCTCCCTTGCAGTATAACAAATTTTAATTTTCCTGAGTTAGGTTTGTATAAGCCTCGATATGAATATCATTTCTGTTGATTTGAAAGGGGAGTGTACTTTTATGGCAGAGATTATGTCAGTTTGGCTGATTGTATTTAAAATAATATGTAACTTTTGTTCTCAGTCTGAGGTGCTTCGCCACAAGTCAACAGATTCTATATCATTACCGTTGTGTCTCATCAATTTTGTGTCTGCTGTTGAGTGGACTCTCTATGGATTAGCAATACAAGATAAGTTTGTCACAGTAAGTATCTGCAGAACGTTGTGATTTCTCTCAAAATTTATCAACTGCATCAAAGACAATTTCACGAGCAATCAATTTCTCTTAAAGGACTTCGGGTTTCACACTAAATTGAGAGCTTCTTTTATCTTTCAAGTTAAAGAGATGTCAAGTAAAATGGTGCACAGTGTCGGAGGAAATAAAAGCTAAGTTTTAGTCCTGCTGTCTTTGCTCTTCCAGTGAAGTGAAATCAGCCTCAATGAAGGGTTTGTTGATTGTTCCTTTTATTTTTTTAAATTCTCTCAAAATAAAAATTTCCTTGAAATTGGTCTTGGAAAATATATAATTTGTTGTTTTTGGTCAAACAGTACTCTTAATGTTCATATGCTTGCACTGTCTTTCGTATTTGATATTTATCCAACTCAATGAAAAATTCACAATTCCTGGCTTGCCAACTGCCCTGAATTTCCTGGGACTGTCCAGGATTGGGCAATCAGGACTTTGAGAGCCTTATTACGTACACTACACCAAAACCAGTCCCACTTCTCGATGTTTTGGGGGGTAATTTTGGTCCCAATTTAGGTGCTGAGATTTGTAAGTTACGTAAAAATGTGCCATCATGGTACAAGTTGATATGCTTCAAGAAAAACAAAACATGAAAATGGGGATGTGATATTGATGGTGATGCTGTAATGTTGGAAAAGATGTGCAAATCAATCTTGGTGTCAGCCCACTTCTTTATATTTTATTCATTGTTTCGTAATCTGAACTTATTACACTGGATGTTTCCTTCTTGAAGATTGATGAAAATTGTTATTTTGATTCTTTATTTCAGTTTCCGAACTTTATCGGAGGCGTACTTGGAATTCTTCAACTTTCTTTATTCGTTGTTTATGGTTTCAAGCACAAAAGAGGACGGCCATCTATAGTCAACACTTGAATTCTTACCTCATTTAAGTCATGTTGGATAAAGTGAGTGAGAGTGGATGGTTGGCGGATGCTCTGGTGCGGTTTGCTTCGTCTTTCTTATCAAACATCTATCATCCTTATCTCTCCTCCTCCTTTTTTGTGTTTGTTCCTCTCTTGCAACGTCTCTAATATTCAGCTCTTATATGACCTTATCGTCTAGCAAGTGCAGTAAAATTCTTACTAAAACTAAGATAAAGTGAGGGATTGCGTCTAACAACTCTAGAACTGATCTCAGTCTGTGCATTATCTTTGTGGTTGGTTTTAAAAGTTGAAGAGACTAAAGATTTTTGCACGATCTGTTTCATGCCAGGAGTCTGATGTTTGTTGGTCATTATTTATAAACATTATTTTATTAGAGAGCAAACAGGAGAAAATTGCTGTATTTTGTCAAGTGGAATTAACACTGCTGTAAGCTGACAAAACACCTTTTTTCATTTTCGGCGTCAAATTGTTTAATTTGCTCAATCGAAAGCCTGATCAGTTACCCTACTTATGTGAAAAAAGCAAATTGAAACTGAATAGTTTTTAAACAAATTAGAATTCAAATTTCAGAAGAACGCCTGTTTTTTAATGGTTACACTGACAAAAAAACCCATCTATATCTCAAAACTGCTGTGAATAAAAAATTGTGTTTTGTCAGCTTACTGCAGAACAGTTGAACACCTCTGAAACCAGCAGTGTGTGACTTGTCCTCCTGGACTGGGGTTCTTTTATGAAATTTCATATTTTTTATTTCCGGTTGAAGGGGAAACTTTATATATTCATGACCTCATTGAAACAAATGCAGACAGGTGTAAGTTAAAAAACTCTCTCCTTCTTTTTCGCCTGTTACTCTCTTGTAACACTCTAATATTCGGCACTTATATGATCTTATTGTGTTGCAAGTGCTGTAAAACTCTACTTAAACTAAAACTGAGATAATAACCAAGACAATCCAACACTGTAAGGTTGAGGCCCTTGTCCCAACAATTGCATCTTCCCTTGATACCATGCTGTATAAGAGAACAGAAAATTTTTTAAAAAAGTAAAAATAGAGTGAGTTGCTAGAAACATTTGTATATTGTTTGATGCTTGCAAGTAACTGGATGTTGTTTGTTTGGGGAAAGAGAGGCACATCAACACAACGCCAGTCATTTAGCGTTTGATCAAATCAGACAGAATTAATAGAGGGAAAAAGATATCGTAGGACCTATCAGTGGCACCTTCTAACTGCGGGCAGTAGCTGGAGTTATGCAAATTACAGTATTGAGACATACAGTTCTCCAAAAGGGTCCTGGACAGGTGATAGGCTAGTGCAGATTCAGCTACTAAGGTGTTATGAACTTTTTAAAATGTCACTCTTATCACTGCTTTGCGCACTTTTTCCTGCCATGTGGTTCTTTCTCCTTCCCTCCTTTCCTTCACTGTTTCCTCTGTTTCTGACCTTTTTAATAGGGCTTGGAGAAAGATAGCATCAAACAAGTCTGTATAATATATTATATTTACTTTAACACATTGCTCTACTCCCTATCTATTTAAATATATTATATCTGTCTGTTTGTCTTTCAGTCCATCCATTGATCTCTCTATCAAATGTCTATGAGTGTCCTGTGTCATTTTGTGAACTGATGGAGAAAAAAAATTTGATTAGTTCTCGAATGTTCACGGTCTACTTTGTCCTTAACCTGTTATGATTTTTTTCAACAGACAATGCTCCATATGAAGTCAGCCATAAACCTGAGAGCTGAGTGCTGCCATAAGTGGATTGTCCTCCCATTCTCCACCCCGCCCCCTCCCCCAAGACAACAGATGACATGAGTACTCACTGTACATAATGTTGATGCTGATTTTCTCATTGTTACTATCTCTAAGGGATGTTGTGCATTAGCAATCTGGTTTATGCTACAAACATATTGTTTTATCTCACTTGATGTGATGTTTTTGCCTTGCCTTGTGTATTTGGATATCAAGAGCATTTCAGACCCTTTTGTCTTGCCTAAAGGCAAAAGTTGTGGAGGTTGTTGTCAGATGTTTGTGGAACACATTTTTGTAGTTTTATGTTTATCACTACTGCATATTACTTTGTTTGCTTTGATTCTTTGACCAGAATATAAAATTGTGTGGAGTGGCCTAATGCAGAAACAGTGAAGTCAAATTTACTGCAGGACAAAGGAAAGAATTGCCACGCATTGTGTGTTGTTGTTTTTTTTACTAAATTAAAATAATGATAAAAAGAGGTACTTTGGGAGTAAATCCTGAAAAATGGGGGAAATTGTTTTTTTTTAAATCCCATTATTAGTTCATGTGTTATGGAAAAGAGAATAAGTGATAGTGAATATTTTCAGTTCAGTTGGAATCATTTGTAAATATAATCCCGTAAAGTCAAATTACATTTTGCACTTGTATAAATTTTACTGAAAGCCACTAAACTATTCTCTGTATGTTACCATGAAATGAATGTTCCAATTGTTTTTCCTTGTTACTTTTGATTCTAGCTTTCCTTTGTCAAACTCCTCAAAAGTGTTTCAGCCTTGCAAAGTGAAGTCAGATGTGTCACGGCAGCTACTGTCAGATACCTTCTCATTTGTAAGCCGGTCTGAAGAAATCGGGAATTTGTTGCTATAGTCAGTGTGGTCTGTTCTGTTCAATTTTAAGTTATACATACCCGGGAATTGCCCAACTATTTAAGAAAACAAGTCAGGCTCTGTTTCTTGTAATAACCACTTTAAAATATCTTTTCTCAATATATTTTCCATTTTTGCATTGAGATATTAAAAAACAATATTACAGACGTGCAAGTAGCCCTCAGAAAAATGAAAATCTAAAGGTGTGTAGTGTAATCCGATCTAACTATGGGAGTCTGGTGTTAAGAGAATTTTGACAAATTAAGGCTTCTAAACTGCCATCTAGGCATTTTCAGCTTTGAAATGTAAAATATCAAACCAAAAAGAATATCTGTATTGTCTTTTGAAAACAGATAGTAACTCAGCTGGGTATCACTTACTCAGATATTGAGATCCACGGGCATCAGGATTGTGCTATATGGTGATGGGATTCTACGGTGTTACCCTTTTAGAAGTGGGCAAAAGAGGTACTGCTTTTCTCTTCAGTGTCTGGGGCTGGGGCTTATCAACACTTGCAATCAGTTTCTTCTGGGCAATGTCAGCTTCCCTTTTCTCCACTGCTTCCTGGGACTTAAGGTAGGACTTTTGTATATGATATACCAGTGACTGGATCGTGCCTCCTGTAAAATTCCAGGGTTGTTTTGTTGTGGGCCAGTAGAAAATAATTGGTGGCCGCCTAAACGATAAGTTGATGTTGCCATTTTTGTGGCTATGTCAGTAATAATATTGTTCATCATGCAGAATGATGCTTCCACCTTTGGGCCTGTTAAACCAGCAGGCAGTGACAACTTTCTCTACACTGGAATATTTCTGGAGCTTGAAAGCATGACCACACCAAACATCCAGAGGCATGTTTAAATTCGCCTGTAGCCTGCTTTCTGCCTGTAAGCTCGCGATTTTATCTTTGAAATTCGAGGCATCAATGTTTGAAAAAAAACAATTTCTTTAGTTGAATTCCTGTGTCTGACTGTCTAAAGGCCACTGGGTCCAGGAGATAAAGGACCTCTAGAAGGGGGTTTCGGAGTGGCAGCTTCTGCTGCATACATTGTGCTGTCACAGTGTATGCTTCTTGGAGTCCCCTTTTGAACACAGTGCTTTCCTTCACTGGAAGTATTTCTAGGAATTGCGCACACCCTCCTGTCAACACATGTTGGACTGGGAGCAGCTTGGCCAAGTCCTTGAGGTCTAATAAGCCCAGTGCCTTCCCAGATTCCCTGATGATTTCAGCCCTCACAAATAAAATGTTTGGTAAGTTTCTAAATTCATCCAGAACCGTATCATGAAGTTTATGAACCAAAGGTTCCTTCTGCTCAAAGCATAAAACAAAACGTTTGAACAGGGAAAGAACAGTAATAACTGTGGCTCCATGTAAGTCTGTGTCTCTCCTCCTATCAAAAAGCCTTTTACAAACCTTCTGTTTCCTTGGCTTCCCGTGCTGTGTCATATTTTTAGTCTTCAAACGGCAAAGGATATCATACACTCTCTGACGGCCAGCAGGTGTTACATGATGCGTTGAAAAGATGTCCAGTATTTGCTGCTTGTACAAATCCTTGTCTTAAGCAGACAGCCAAGCATAATTCATGAGGGCAAGGGTGAGGGGGTGTCCGGGTGTTTCAATTCTTGAAAGGGAAGGGTAGCATTTAACAATGCCAGCCAACAATGGCCAACTCGCTCCTTTGGCAGTTGCTCTCGGCAACCTAAAATGCTGCAGAGAGTCAAAAAAATCTTCCCGAATGTCTGCTGGAAAGACAAAAGTCTTTGTGAAAATTGTCCAAAAGAAGAGGAAAATCCTTCTCTGGATCATAGCTGTACCAGAATTTCATGTATGGTGGAACACATCACCATCAATATCCAAAAGGTGAGGGACACTTCACCTCATTCGTGCCTGAAAGCCAGTTTCAGAGCCACACATGTAGGCTGCGGAGTCAGAAAGAATAGAGATGAGGTTCTCCTTAGGTATTTTGTCTTCATTAAAAAGCCTTTCTGAGATGGCTGTATATACTGTAGAGGCATTTACAGTTTGCAGTTCCACTGTGCAGTACAGATGAGTGACACTTCTACCTAAGTCTTTGTCAAGGAAGCAAACTAAGACATTCATCAGACGTTTTTTGTTGTGTTTCCTTGAGGATTCATCCACATTTATAGGGAATGGCACTTCCTGAAGGTTCTTCACCCACCGCTTCTCTTCCAGCTCATGCAGTCCATACTTTAATTTGTGCGTAGCTGTCTGTCACTCTATTGGTAGCTTCTGGAGGGCCTGATAGTCATGTGCCAGATTTTGTAACAATTTGATTAAGTGAGGAGCAATTGCAGGAGGAAGTGAATGCTCCAACAATCACTGACTCAAGTCACAATGAAACACACAAATAGATCTAGATGTAGTCTTGTTCTAATCAAAAAACTTTTCCCTGGCAGAAACAGAAGTCAAACTGAAACAGCACTAGATCTACATTCTGGCTTCTAAATAAAAACAAAAACTTTTCCTGCAGAAAGAAGAGCTCATCTTTGAAAGAGCACTCACAAGGATAGTAACCACGCAAAACAGCACACCAGTGACACGATGATCGACTCATGTGGTTCATTTGTTGCGTACACCTTCGTTTTATAGCCTCAGGGAAATGCAATTTGCCGCCGGAAAAGCGTCGTCTTTTTCTTAGTTTGCATTTCCGTTCTCATATTGCCACAATAATAAATTTCACCTGAAAATTTTTGCCGGCTGGAGACATATAATCAGGCTGGGGCGGAAAAAATTGAGTCAGAGTCAAAATTTCCGGAATTGCGGCAATTGCCGGAACACTTACACGTCTGATTGTTGGTGTAACTTCGAAAGCGTTTTTTCTCAATTCTTACCTTTCCACATTTTTTTACTTCAAAATGCAATATCTAATCTTCTTAAAAAGATAATTGAAAAATTTTAGAGGCATGATTTTCAGGAATATCCCATCTTTCAGAAAGGCACAAAACCTCAAAATATGCCAGGGGCAATATGTTCCTGATTTCTTTAGACCGACTTTCATTTTTCTTCAAACTCGGACTACATTGTGATCCTTGGGAATGTGTTACTGAATAGTAAATAGAACATAATCACATTGTTACCGCAGTTTTCGTTTCTATGAATGAATCATAATGAGTTCTATGTCTTATTTGTTATTCTTTGTCTTTTGCTTCATGTGCTTTCCTGTAAATCAAGTTAAAAGAAGGTCTGGTCTTCAAGTTCGATCCATTTGTAATTCTATTTCCGCTTTGTTATTCTTTATTAAAATCTGAGTTTTGTGATTGGTAAAATCATAAAGTGTATATTAATGTTTCTGTCCCTGTGCTCTTCAAATGAAAAAAAGAATGGGCATTGGTTGATATTAGCAACAGTTTATACATTGGTCAAACTTTCACCATTCTGATATTACCTGAAGATGTAGGGACAATTTTATGGTAAATTTTGTTTGGTTGGTTTGCTATTGTCTGTGATAAGTATTAAAAGAAAGCACAAACCCGTATGTTTACACTCACACACATACACACGTGCGTGCCCATGCTACGCTTGCTCTTCTATTTTGTGTCAAGATAGTTGTTAGCATATTAGTAGCTTTTCTTTTCAAACAAAACTGCTTCAGAATGGTAGTTTTTAATAACTGGTTGGGATTTTTTCGTAGATTAGAATAAATGCTTTTCATAAAATTTGCTTGCAGGAGTAATATGTGTTTGCTTTGTTGTGTAATGGCTCTTTGGCCGAACAGTTGGGTTTTTTAAAAAATTGGACTGCCAAGTTAAAATAACTCACTTTTATTTGGGGGGGGGGGGGGGGCTCGATGTATTTAACAAATAATTGAGAATCATCTAGAGCAATAACATGCATTCCCACAGTGTCCCCCCCCCCCCCCCCCCCCAGACTCTGTGACACATACTATATTGAAAGATTATAGAGGAAAATTGCATTTCATCAGATTCATCTTTATTCTAACCATGAAAACTGAAGTTAAATTTTTTGTTAATGTTGTTTCCAGTGGCAAATGAAAGTGGAGTCTTGTACATCTTAATTCTACGACAAAATAGTCATGGCATAGTGTTACCATTTAGCGACCCCAGTGCTTTCTTGTCGTATCTCCATTTTTAATAACAGTGAAAACAGTTCATAGCAAAGAGTGAGCTTAAGAAGAAGTCACATTTTAACTGTTTTAAAAAAAAAGGTAATACAACAAGAAAGCACTGAGGTCACAATTTGATGGGAGGCTTGTACTTGCCAGAAAGGACCCTGAAAGTTTATTGATCACTCCCTTTCTTTTGTCTACTTTTTCCTCATAAAGTCAACATCTCTCGTACTCTGGTTATGCTCTTCACTTTGAGCACAAAAGACACAAGTTCAGTTCCCTCAAAGAAAATACATTTTAGTGACTATAGCTGTCTTTTGATGAGGGGTATTGTCCCACATTGGAGATGTTGGCCCTGACTGGCAGGATCAAAGCAGCCTGCCTCCAATGTGATCTTCATTATGATATGGATGGCTATGTGGCTATGTAAAACATTCATAATCATTTTCCTCCTAGTATCTGTCCAGTATTTTTGAAATGTTAGAATATGGTAATACTCTTTTATGCACAATTTTCCTTGTGAATTGGATATTCCAACAGTCTTTAAGTTGCAAAAAATACATTTTTTCTACAAGTTCATAAGTCAATTTGTGTGTAAACAGTATGCCTGGAGATCTTTTCTTTCACTAGAATCAGTTAGTCAAATATCGAAAAGTGCTCAAGATATATGCATAGGTGTGCATCATGAGCTGATGTAGCCTGTCATTATTAGTTACAAGGACTCCCTTCCCCCTCAAAGAAAAAACTTTTGTGGACCACTATAAGTATAATTGTAACTCAGATTTTAAGGATGAGTTTTGTGGAAGTGTTTTCTCCTTCAGTTCATAACTGCAGGAAGTTAATTAATCACTGTGTTTCTGATCGAAGGAGTAGCCAGTATGTCAACTCTTTCGCTAATTTGGTTTTGTATACATTTCCACTCCTACTTTAGCTTATTTGTGTTAAAAATGTGGTAAATGTTGTGAGACTAATGATTTTATGTCGATGGTTTTTGTTTCTTTCCTCCTTATGCCAAAATTCTTCTAACAGTAGACTTAACTCATTCGCTACGTATTATTTTCGGCTTGTGGACGAATTTTTTTTCAGGAGAGCGAAAGAGATGATGACTAATGGGCAGTTAAAAGGTCTTTCGGGCCACAAATTCAAATAAATATCAACGTATTACATACCAATATTTTCAGTATAGTTTGTACAATACATCTGTAATGTTTATTTATGTATTTTTCAACTTTGGTTCCTGTAAGAGACGATTATGCAACACAGTTTTGATTTGATGCGGATAAAATTTGAAACTAAAAAAATTATAATCTTTGGTGAAACTCAAAAAATATGTTTGCACCTAGTCAAATGATGCATCAAAATAACCATAAATGAATATAGAACTGGAAAATATTGAAAAGTGTGCAGTTATTTATCTACATTCCATAATATTTGTAAATTTTGAACATAACATCCGATATTGAAAAAAAAAAAAAAAATTTATAATCTTGAAAAATGATCACAAACAGAAAAAAACCCGCTCGTATCTTATATGGAATTATTCAGAATTGCATTTGGAATAAGCCTATGCATGTCTTGAGTGGCACTTTTTGTGTAATTTCATCAAAAAGTAGTGATTTTGGGGAGAAAAAAATATTTTGACTATTTAGATCTAGAACTAGATCTAGCACTCAAAAATATTGATTTTTCAATAACAGTGCATTGGCAATATGAGTCCAATCGTATCGATATTATAAAAAAGAGTCTACACTTCTTTAGAGAGCAACATAATGATAGATTTTGTTGTGTAAAATTACAAAAACTGGTGTCCGGGCTATAATTTTGGCATCGCGTTAAAATAAAGTCGAATTAACTACGAAATCGCGTTTCAAAACTGAATCTAAATTTCCGATTTTCAGTGGAAATGCTTGACCCGGAAGTCAACATTATATTATGACCTTTATTTTAACATGGATATGTGGATTGGAATAGAATCTGAGCTAAAATTGAAGATCGGTTCTCGAGCCGCCGGGGGCGGCTTAGCGTACTGACGGCACTTTAGACGCGCCGCCCCCCACGGCTCGGCGTAGCGAATGAGTTAATGAAACAGGGTATGCACATTTTAGTGAGTTGTTTTTTTTAGATGATTTTTTGCCATAATGTTTCAGTCGTCAGTCTATTTAAATATAGGAAACTTTGATGAAAGATAATTTTATTTCAATGCCAGTACATTCAATCTTCAATTAATTTTGGGGATGGTTTGATCATCTTGGTGCTATGTTTTGGGTCCCATTTGATCCTCTTGCCAAAAAGCTTTTATTGGTTTTGATCATGACGCAATTTTACCAATTATAAACATTTTCCTTTAATGCTTTTGTTGAACGCTTATCTTGTCAAGCTCTGCGAAAGTGCATTATATTTACTCAGTCTACACAATGCTCTGCCGTGTGTGGCCCTGCCAGGGCTGTTGTGCCATATATGCTGCCTCCCGGTGTGGTTACAGCTTGACATCAGTTGTTCCATTTTTGGCCTCAGTATTTGTTCAATTTGATGTTTTGACTTGTATTATTGTTGTTTTCTCCTGTGATGTGGGAGCTCCATGTTATCTCCTGTGGCGAAGGAGTTCCATGTATATCATGAGTCGTGCCTTAAATCTTGACTATGACCCAGAGGGAATTGTCTTTTTTTTCTATTTTTGTCGTGAATAATAGTCTCAGCCTAAATGAATGGTCATTTTAAAGAAGCGCAGACACAAAATTTTAATTTGACCAGAGAGCTACTTTTTTGCCCTTTCTGCTGAATGAAAGTGCTCAGAATTTGTTATCTCTCATATTCATGGTTACATTTAAACAAAGAAAAGACGTGTATGGCTTTTAAGTAGCTGAAAAGGATGATGCTTTAGCTAAGTCATTGAAATGTTTCTGTTGCCATTGAACTTTTTATTTATATATCTTTTTGATTGCTTTCATGGACAAATATATATATATTGAGCTAAAATTATGCACACAGCATTTGCTCTTTTTCATTGGTGCTGCTACCAGAAATAATAATCTGTTACCTTCTCTGCGTTTATAAAAATTTTAAGTGGAAAGCATCATACTGACTCCAGTCATTTAGTGCAGGTATGACAACTTTAAATCTTTCCTTGAGAGACCATTTTCCTTACAGCGACTAGGCTATTTTGACGGCCATTTTTTCATTTCTCACTGTAATATGAAAAAAATATAATCTCTTCTATATTTTTAAAAGAGATTTAGATGTGTTTTACATATATTTAGGGCCCAACTGCCAGGAAATAAACTTCCTATCCGATCAGATAGAGTAAAAATAAAATCTGATCATAAAATAATGGTTTGTGTGAGTCTGAAACTTTGGAGAGGAAGAGATTTTAAGAGTTTGGTGCACAAGCGACATTCAATGAGCTAATTTTTTAATAGAAATTTGTAATTCAGTTGGTATAGACAAGACTTATTGCAGACTCTATTTTTGGTAACTTTTTTTTTTTCTTTTCTTTTTTTTTGGGGGGGAGGGAGGGCTGTTTATGTCATATGTGATTAATTTAGTTTGAGAGGGAGGACCTTTTCTTTTAAACTCCACAGTATTTTTCCATGGTCAACATCTCCTGTTGTCTGTTCACAGCCTTCTTCACCATTGTAATATAATTATGTGAATGATATTGAACGGACAAGCCCTGTCCCCTTTTGGTTGTTGAGTTATTATGATGAGATTTGATGCCATGTGGGAAATGATTTCTGTATGGTTTTCTTAGGTCCAGATATGAAGGTGCATTGTATATGTGTGTGTGTGTATATATTATGTATATATAACATGTATCTATTTTGTGATTTAAAAGTAAAACTTGGAATTGATGGTAATGGACATGTACTTTTTATTTTCTTGGAGATGTTTTGATAACATTTGGTCAATGAGTAAGACACCTTTAAATATTTTTTTCCATAATAACATTGATAAAAACTGCTCAGTGGGAGAATTTTTCGGTACATTTTTACACTTCAGATGGATCTATACTTTAACGCATGCTTTTGAAATTTGCAGGCTTACACAACCTTACATTCCTACTCACTGAGATGATCTCTTGGTGTCGGAATTTATTGTTACGTTCTCTTGTGTCACCTTAGATCATTTCTGGCATTTCGTTTTGCACGCTGACCAAAAACTTTGACTTCTACGCAAAAACTATTGCTAGAACATGCACTGCAATGCTCTCTGCATCATTCTGTATTGCTCTACAGTTGTTCTGCTTTAGTTATCATTGATAATTTATTTCTGCCATCTTGTGTCGTCAAGAGTTCACTATAAAGTGAAAAGTACATTTTTTAGGATCTAGACACTGATTTGAATTGTGGGCTGTTTTCCTATTGCTTTTGTTGCCTTTGTTTTTATGTTGTAAAGTTCACCATGCCACAGTTCTGCCGGTTTGAACTTGGTTCATGAAGCCATTGTGAGCGTTTGACATGGTGCAGTAAAAAGTTTTTAAGAGCAAATGGATACAAGTTTCAACTGATTTGGTGCTTGCTATACACAATATATTATTATTATTATTATTATTAGATGTGTTATGTGGTTGCCATTGTGTTGAGTTACGGTCCTGTGTCTCTCTCTCTCTCTCTCTCTGTGTGTCTCTACTACTACTAATACTTTATACAGTTGAAATTGTTCAAGACGGCCATCCGTTGTCAGGAGAAAAGGGGTCTTCTAACTTCTAAGATAGATGGATGTCTTCGATAGTGTCAATATAATAACGAAGAAAATGATAATCAAATTACATTTTATTGATCCCCGTGGTGAAAATTGGGTTACAGTGGCCAAACAAGCACATATACGAGTACATAATTAGAAATACTTCTTCTTTTTCTTCTTCTATCCCGTGGTTGGGGCAACCATGGGGGCACCACTACATCTGAAAACCAGCTCTGGCCATCTATTTTTGTCCTCTGCTTTCTTCAGATTGTCACCCATCGTCTTTCCTGTCCCCTTTGTAAAGTTGTCCTCCCATCTCCTTCTCTGCCTTCCTCTCTTTCTCTTTCCTTGTACGGTTCCTTGCAGGATTGTTTTGGCAAGTCCTGTGGATCTTGTGACATGCCCATAACTTTTTAATTGTCGTCTCTTCACTGTGGACAGTAGATCTTCATGCTGCCCCACTGCGTTGGTGATTCTTTTTCGTACCTCAGCATTTGAAACGTGGTCTTTGTACGAGATGTCAAGGAGTCTGCGGCAACATCCCATCTCTGTGGTCTGAATCTTTTTCTCTAATTCTGCTGTCAGTGTCCACAACTCGCAGGCCTATAAAAATATTGAGATGACCAGTGAGCGCATTAGTCTGATTTTTTAGTTGTGCGTGATGTTTCTGTCCCTCCAAATAGACTTCGGTTTTGACAGAGCAGCTGTTGTTTGGGCGATTCTGGAGAGAATTTCTGGTCTTGAGCCTTCATCTGAGACGTTTGATCCAATTAGAAATACATACATACATAAATTAGCAAAATCATACCAATACAGAACAATAATGTCACAAACATGCCATTGCTGGTCGCCACTGTGCAG